ATTGCCACAGATTGAATAGCGCTTCTCTATGAGTTTTCGAAATGCATATCAAAATTTATATGAACTGGGCTTCGGAAGAGTATAGAGCTGGAAAGTCAGTTGATTGGGCTGATATTGTTGCCGATAATAATATGAAGCCTTTATCCAATATTGCTTGATTTCAAACTCGAATATCTTTACCATTCGTCGTCACCCACCCCCTTTTCTCAGAAAAATTTTAAGCAAAATATTGCACAGCCACTTGCTGCTCGGTGTGATAGAATTCATGCGATTCTATCACGTCACTCACTAGCTACATACCCATTCTGGTTATTGGCTCTGGAATATTTGAATTTATTCCAACGGTAAGCAGTAGTCGGTGTTTCGTTGGGGGAGTAGTTTCGTGTTAGTTTTCTCTCCCTATCGGCCCATTTGAGTCTGTGGTGGCATAGAGGTACTTCTTTCCTGAAAATAGCTCTAACTTGAGATATCTTTTGGAAAGCCTCATATAATAAAAATTTGACAATGTGGATAGGAAAGATATTCTTTTCGCCACAAAACCTGGAGTGCCATTTGTGGTTAGTTCCCTTGGGCTTTCTTCATAAGGTATATACTGGGTGATCAAATTGAGAAAAGGAACTTCGTCTGGTTGGCCATGTTCCTGCTGTGGTCCCAAACTAAGGAACCCAAGTGAGATGTTGGGCCGCACGAACCTCCAGATTCTCGTACTCCTTCCTCATTTAGGGGGTCTGAGGATGTACCTACGCCAGAGTTCCTATGATGAAAAGGGTAAAAAAGTCTTAAATAACCTGACCATGGACAAGTGTTGTAAAATACGTAATACCAGTAAGTGCAGATCAAGTCAGTAAGGATATTTTAAACCACTTCTTGATCGAGCGCTAGCGTAGCGGTTCTATATTGCTGAAATCTGATTAATTTCAGTCATTTTTACTTTCCCGTTTGGTCCTTTGCAAAATCTAGTTGTCATAGTTTTAGACCCTTCCCGAACACTTCCTTAAGGCAGATCGCCGTCCGATTGATCACATATGAATTAAAGGGTGGTCTGCTGCAATGTCATGGCTGAGTGGTCTAGTGGTATGATTCTCGCTTAGGGTGCGAGAGGTCCCGGGATCGATCCCCGGCTCAGCCCGAGTTTTGGTCAAGGAAACTTAGGAGGTTTTATGTTAGAAGCAAAGTTATGAGTTGCAAAAGGGCTACGAATGATGCCAAGAGTTGGATTACAACTTCGCTTTATACAAATTTTTAGCATGTAAAAGAAATATTTGCATTTTTTCGTAAAATGCAAGACCATTGATAGCTGTTTGCATCATTTTGATCTCAAAAAACGTTTTTACTAGTTTTCATGTATTATTAAGGTAATATTACGAATATTTAAACAAGTATGTTATCTGGAGTTGATTTGCTCTGACAGTACCAGTACTGCTAACAGCAGAAGGCGATAACAGCCAAGCAAGCTTCCACTGCCACTTCTGTTTGTCAGCTGAATTTCAGAATTGTGATGATGTAATTGCCTGTAAGAGTAATCCAATTATCGATAACGACTATGTAAATCAATCTATTTCAAAAATTTGTGAAAAGGGACGTGAACAAATTCTGTGGTGCTGATCAACTCCGGAGAGGGCTCCATTGGCCTGAGCAGTTCAATCCGGGATTAGTTTCACGGCTCACGCTCACCGATAAGCGCCAGTTGTCAGCGTGCCACCTCCGCCATTAGCAAAAATTCAATTGTAAATATTAATTATGGTGAATAGGCGATAAGTATTACCCAAGCGATGTCCTTGATACGCACTCTAGAGGAACTAAAAGTCTACTCAGGTATTTTCAGAGTTGTATTCCCATATACTGGCTAGGGAAAATGTGACATCGCCCTAGTTGGTTTCTCATGTAGACATAACCCGGTAGAAAAAGATCGGCCTTTCCCGAAAGGAATACAGTACCTTAGCAATTTTCGATAACATGAGCTACCGAACTTAGACTTTTTTGAAGTCTAAAACTCCTTATAAAATGGTCCACACGACGGAGCGTCTTTTAACTCTTCCACTAAGCAAAGATGAGCAGCTGCTTAGCCATGAAATAAAAAAAGGAGAATTCGACAAGCCCAATTCCCCAACCAAATGGGTTGCCCACGCTATCAGAAAAAAATGCTATTCTACTACTCCGCCCCATTTTGTTGTTGGAGAATTTACTTCTGCCTAAAAATGTAGTCTTGAAGGCTTTCTTTAAATTTTATACTGTATTGTGTGCCGTTACTCGTTTACAGATTTGAATGTGATTTCTTAGTTCTGAATTTTCCAAGTATGGAAGTACTACATCGCAATTATAAAAGGACGAGTTGATAGGGTAACGTATCCTGCCGTACTGGTCTATTCTCTCTAATGCATTTAGTTATACGAGATCCATTTTAATTCGTGCACGCTGACTTTTCGTTTTTTTTTACCTACCCAATCTCTCCTGGGGTGCGCTGTCCAACCATTTCCTCTTTTTGAACTGCAAGCGTTCTGCGCCGGAACGGTAAGAAAGAATCGGTTTCGTTGCTCATGGGTATTTTCCATGAAACGAAATTTTGATTGCAGTAACTACTTCAATGCTCGGTCTCTTTAAATGTGGTTATGTTACATGATGACTTATTCTGCTTTGCTGTACAAGTAGTAGACCCAGATTACTGACCTGACTTTTCGAGCTAGTCGTAGTTTTGGACCGGGAATATTCCGAAGGTTTTCAGATGTAACATACCAGGTGGAGCGCCTGACACACGAGACTTTTTGAAACATTTCCTGAAGAGTCGAAAATTTCAAGGAATTATGGATCAGGCCTGTTACCTACTGTGTGGGAGGACCAACAGGCCACATGGGGTGGATCCTGGGAAAATGTCGAAAATGTCGTACCTACTGACACACGCCTATAACGCCAACGAATCTTACCAACGTTAAGGTAGGCTCAAGAAGACTGCGGAGCAAAATCGCTTGATGCAACTATGCATTACACGAAAGTAAGCAACAACGAACCTCTCTAAGCGATCTCTGAGATACTGAATGCATCACACACTACGGATAGATTTCGATGGAGATTGTTGACAGTAGAGAAGAGTGTTTCAACTTTATTGTCACGAAATACACATCGGTGAGACGGGAGGGATGCCAAACATCGGAAAGCATCTAACAGGTGAAAGATGTGGAAGTATGCTGACAACGCTTCGGAAGCAACGACTGGAATCTCGATATAAAATGCAAAACCCAAGTCTCTGAGAACAAGATGGTGCTGGAGAGATATGCACACTCGCCCGTAGAGCTCGAAGTTGAATAACCGAAAGCAGTTTCTCGCTGCAACTAGTGGACCCCTGCCATTTATTTCACTCTGTGGACCTTGAAACCAAAGTGCTCATCATTCAGCGTTCTCCGATTTTCAGTAAGGTCCCATGTTGATCGTTTATTTGACTAGAACATAAATACACGTGGAACAGTAGAAGGTGGGTCACTTCTTCTTTGGTTTCCTTCTGATTACAAATGTTATGAGTATGAAATGAGCATGTTGCAAATGGAATGAGTTGGGGCATTCCAGCGCTTGACTGGGTAGTCCACCAATCAGAGCTGATGGTTTGTATACGAGATTGAAAAAATCATCATGCATCAAAAATATCAATATAGAGAATGGGAAAATGAAAAATAAAGCGATTAAGTACTGAATTCTGTAGATTTCGCAGATTTCGTTTCACAATATCATGTAAATTGTAATGATGTCACATGAAACAAATGCCCTTGATTACTAGATACTTTTTTCATCGTAAGCAAACCTTTAACATGCTTGGTCGTTGCCCTTCCAGTCACGCCTTAGAGCCTTTGAATGTAAGCAATTCTCATAATCGCTTATTATACTTTGTACTTTGTAATGCTTCAAAGATTAGGTAACATAGCTCCACCGTTTCCCCTTGCTTGGTCGTACCTTCCCCCTTTGGCTGCCCTTCTCATCCATTGAATGACAGGGATCAGTAGAACAGTGCCGTATCTAGTTCAGGAAGAGCTCTGCAGGCCTAAGTACGCCGTCGTAGAAATTCTATCGCATTATTCTCTTAGTGTTTCTGAAATGTGACACCTTGGCGGAACAATATGTCTTTATCATTTCTACTACTGGTTATTGATCACCAGTATTTGAAAATCTGATGTTTTTACCTTCACGGCAGTTTGCAAATTCGTGGGCCACATTTGAAGCTTTATCGACTCCTGCAGTCACCTTGGGCGGACGAGTTCTCGCAGCATTGTAGAGGCTGTAGAGCTTACACTATCCTCACCAGGACTCACACGTTACACGCAGGCAGCTTACTCTAGCCACCTGCGTGCAATGGCCCACACATTTGAGCAGCTCGTCCAAATACCCCTTCCATGCAACTTATGTCGTCATATTCTTGCCCAATCCCAGTTTATCACTTTTTATTGAAGCCTTCATTTTTTAGGTACATCTGTTTTGTAATTTCTTCACCTTCTTCTGCACTATTATGAACTATCACCTTCATGACTCGTCTGAAACTAGATACCTTGAAATTATCGTGAATTGTGCCTTTAATCATTGCAATTTCCCTAAATGACATTCATAGATTCCCTGGTGTTCCTTCATCTTCTATTTTTGTCACAGTAATTCATCCTAATTTACTATCCCTCCCTCATGCTCAATACACTGTCTCATCCTCGAGCTCAGCCCAGCAGTTCCTTCCGAGCTAATTGCAGTGGCAGGAGCTCTTTCACTGTGACGATTGAAACTACTGGCGGATCTCCTCTTTCTGAGATCCCAGTCCACCTGGAAAAAGGAGATTCACAAATATGAAGACGAAGTAATGGAAAAGCTTCCGCTACTGCACCAATCTCAGGATATTGGCTCTTTCTCGGTTGAAAGCTTGTATCTCAGTATTTATGAAGTTAATTCACATCCATATCGTCGTTTTTCTCATACGAAAAGATTCCTTTTGAGATTTGAGAGATATTAAAAGTCTTATTCCAGGTAGATACAAGATGTCGACATTGACGAAAATTTTTGTGGCTGTTATAGTTGTAGCTTCTCTACCGCAGTCATCAGCATTCAGCATTCGAGAGCTGATACGAGGAGGAAAACGAGGCGGCGATTCGTCGAGTAAGCAAGGTGTTTCGTTAGATTCCTTGGTCTAAATATATTTGGCTCGATGGTCGTATGAGATGATAAATTTCTAGCAAACAGTACTGGGGTCGGGGTTCGATCTCGGCTTAGATTGGCCTATCTCTCCGATACGGTACTACGGGTTTGAATCTATCGAATTCTTTTTTGATTCACTTTAGATGCAGAATGCCTGAGTGTCCAGAACACGCAAAGCATCTAAGGCAAAAAATGCACTTTACAAGAACAAAGAAAAAGGGAACAAGAAGGAAAAGGCGAAAAAGGAAATCTCGGTCTTGGAAGACGTTGGGGACCGTTGTTTATTTGCCCTGTGTATGAACTGCAACGGGTTCCGCTTCTTCACAACTTAGAACCTCCCTATCCTAGAAAGGGGCGATTTCATCGAGTACTGTTGCCTAGGCGCTCCCAGAAAAGCTTCATGTTTTTGTTGGGCGTTTCTTGGCAGCGGTGGGTATAGGTTCCCATACAGTAATCAAAAAAATCAGAAAAAGAAATTCAGGTACTGTAAATCGCTCCCATATATTGATTGTAGCCAGTCTTTGTAGCGAAAGAGTTTATTGGAAAACCAAACTCAAAGGTCTGAAATTATAATTTCTATTTTTTAGCCCCCTGCCCAACCTGGCATCCGTTTGAATGTCCGTCCGGTGAATGTGTACCGATCAAGTATCTATGCGATGGTTCTCCTGATTGCTCGGATGAATACGATGAAAACAAAAGCATGTGCACTGCCGGTAAGTAAATCACCTCTTAAAACTTGAAAAATCAAATATCGTTTAATTGCCGAAGTGATGCTTCTTGGTCATGGCCTTTGTTGGAGCTACATATGTACTTATCTAATATGCATGTACTCATGTTGTATGGGTGGCGCAGTGACTGAGTGTCTCAACCTGCCTTCAGGAAGATTTGATCTGATCTGTCCTGATCTGATCCTCCCCAAATGTCTCTCAGTTATTCCTCTTTTGAGTTTGATTTTCCGTTCCGAGACTAGTCTTCAAGAAGGAGAACTCTGACTATGGCCATCACGAGTGAAAGCCGAGTGGGTGCCTTTTCAAAGTATTTATTTGTTCCGCTCTTCGTTGGTTCTCGGTTCATAGAAATAGCTCGAAAATTTCCCATCTGGGTGAAATCACTGGATAGTTTTTCATATGGTATCCACGGTTACATAAGCTGTGCGTGAGCTTTTCATAATCTCTTCATGGTCATCAAACGCATATAGAAAAATGACTTCAATTCACATTTCGAATCTCATACACGGCACATTAATATTCTCCAAAACTCATTTCTCATAGAGTGAACGATGCGCTCCAAATGAGTTTTT